ATGAAGGCAACAGATGTCATAAGCACGTGCTGTTTACTGCTACATCTTAAGCATCCGTAACTTCCGTGAGAAACTGAAATCGTCTCCGACCCCGGGTGCTGAACTCAAGTACCTGAGCAGCCCAAATCAAAGGACTTGATCAGCGACTTCACAGTGGCGGCAGACTCCGGGGGAGTGGGGGATGACCTGCTCACGCAGACTCCTTGCCAGCGGTTGGTGGTGTCTGCCTCCGTGGAGTCCACCTCCTCCGCGGTCAGCCTGCACAGCAGAAACCAGAACAAAGTCAGAGGCAACAGGAAGCACAAGGCTGAGGTGAAGGATCCTCAAACTCTGCAGGAAAGGAAAGTAACTGCTGGAGCACGAGTTCTGCCTGCTTGTCCTCAAAGTGCCCGGCATAAATCCCTCATGCGGCCAGAAATACCAGTCCATCCCATCAGCGAGGAACCCACGGGAGAGAGAAGAGACCTGACTTGCCCAAATGCAGTTAGCACCAACGCCGGGATTCCCGACTCTCAAAACCCTGTTCTCACACCTCCAGACTCGCTGCTGCCTGTCTCAAGTCCTGTCATCTGCTCCATGGGTCGCTATTTGGTCCGTCCCAGTTCTAGATAAGACTATCGGGCGCCTGGGAATTTGCCAGGCTCAGGTGAGAAGTGGTTCTGAAAAAGAGCCGGGCTTCATGGGACATAGATCAGCTGCACATACGTTCCCAGTGCCACACAGGGGCCACAAGCACTGATTTATCTTTGGCCACGTTACTGTATCCTCTGTGCTTGGCAGTGTTGACACCGCCGCTGGAATACTGCGTACAGCTCTGGTGTCCATGATGCAAGAAGGATGCGGGTAAATTGGAGAGGGCTCAGAGAAGAGTAAGGAGATTGATTAAGAGATTGGAAAAGCTGCCTTACAATATAGTAAAGAGCTCAACAGTTCAGCTTATCCAAGAGGAAGTTCAGGGATGTCTTGTTCACAACCAACAAGCCCTTATGTGGAAAAGAACCTCGATAATGGTCTCTTCAGTCTAGTGGACGCCGGCATCTCAAGGCTCATGGTGGGAAAGCAAATTGGACACGTTCGAACTAGAAATAAAGCACAGGGGTTTGTTTTTTCTAGCAGTGGGGCTAATTAAACTGTTCTGATGATTACCAAGAGCTGTGGTTGATTCATCACTGAAAGTTTTTAATTCAAAACCACCTGTCTTTCTGCAACGCACACACCAAGTCAAGCACGGCAAGCGCACCCAAGGCAGGGACAAAGTCAGGGAAGTCCTTGCTCTGTGCCATGCTGGTCAGACTAGAAGATTGTAGAACCTATACACAGATTAACAGAATTTATACACAGATTAATAAATTCATATTAAATATCCTGCTTACCCAGAAGCTGAGTATACTTTCCCAAGAGCCCTCGGGGCCCAACTTGGACCTCAGTCAACTAGAAGCTGGGTCTGGAAAAGCTCAAGTTAGGTGGCTGAGACGGATTCATTACAAACCAAGCCTATATTACGTTATGTTCAGGGGTTGCCAGCAGCCGAAGCTATGTGGACTGATCCACAGCTCCCCCCACGAATAGGTGAGACGCGTGCAAAAAGAAGTCAACAGGCAGAAATGAACTGAGAATGGAGCGGTGGACAAAGCCCTTCCTCAAACTGCCTATGGGGCTGCATGACTCCTGCTGGGCTAAAAATAGCAGTTAGAGGTGCTTTAATTTTATCTCCCTTTTGGCATCACCGGGAGGCTACAAAATGCAAGAGGGCTGGAGGTGCCGTGAATGCGACGGAGAAGAATGACTCATGCTTGTGTTGCTGGCAGCGCTCAAGGACGTGCTGTCTAAGCACACACTGGGTACTTCTTTGCTAGTTCATCTGGGCTCCTGCGTGCCGGGGGCTTCCGGATGCAGATGGCTCAAGAAAAATCCATTTCAGTCCCGTTTTCCAGCTAAGCCAATAAGGAGAGAAGGAAACAGTGGGTGACATTTGCCGAGGTCAGAGGGATAACATCCCGGGTTTTGATGGGTAGCCTTAAATCCCCTTCCTCCCACCTCCTTTGCCCCGCACGGCTTCACGAAACACAAGCAAGTTGTTAAGAGGTAGCAGTGTCTGAACTTTATTTGTAAGGAGGCACAAAGGCCCAGAGGAGGCTGGCCTCTGCTGAGACGGAGCCCCATCTCAGGATGCCCAGCTGGCCACGTCAATGCATTGCCCTTTACTTTACTTCTTTAAAGGAGACTGCTGTGCAGAAGGGCTGTGCAGTCTCCAAGGCAGAGTGAGAGTGAAGTGCACGGCATATAACCGGAGTCTGAAAGGCTGGCGAGTGCCCACAGACCTGAAAAAACTGCGACAGCTTGGGGGCAAAGCCAAGCTGAGGCTTTGCCTTGATAGATCAAAGTGCCAGCCCAACTCTGGAAGCCAGTCCTAGGTTTCGTCCATGGTGAGATGCACACCATGAGCTGTGGGTGAATGCTACTGACTCGGAGATACACATACCCTGAAGCTATTAAACTCAAGCGTTTCACAACACGGAGGTCTTCCTGAGTGGAAATCTCTAGACTGAAGCCATGTGGAGCAGTGCTCAGGCATTTGGGCTCGGCTTCAATGCACATCCCACCAGCCAATCCAAGATGTAATGGGGAACATGAGATTTGTGTGTCTCAGTGCTAAGCCCTTCACTCAAAACACAAGCAAAAGCTTTATATAAAAGAGTAAAGACTGGATGTTACTGGGGACCTGGCTTTCCAGCATGCTTTCAAAATTTAAGGTGGCAGAAATAAATCTTGCAAGAGGAAGGAATTCAGGAAGATGGCATGAGAACATGACCCAGCAAGATTAGTGCCAAGCCAGAGCTGAAGACCAAAAACAACTTTTCCCAGTGCGCAATATAGGTTTGGCAAAGACTTCGGGGATATCCTGGGTCTTCTTAATGAAGCCTTCCTACAGAAAGGGCAGAACCTGTACAAAACAGTAATTTATGGCCGCGTGCTTTGCTTCAAACACAGATGAATGCTACACACAGCTCGAAGCAGCAAGTGCCACTAGCTGTAGCGCAGCGGCTTCAAGAGGAAGCCAAAGCACTTCAGCCGCAGGGGAATTAAGAGAGGTTTTACATACCATCACCATTCACTTGATCCCCAGGAGTGTGAGAGAGTTGAGGCAATGAGCTTTCCTCTAATGCCAGCAGCTGGTCACTGTGTTTGTTCTTCAGGTCTGGATTACATGAATAATAGTGAGTCAACAAGGTGCAAACCTCAGGGTGCTTAATGCTTTTATTATGGGGCTAAGCAGAGCAGATGATGGGAGGGTGGAGGGGGGGCTCTGTTTGTAATGCTCTGACCCGCTCCTACAAGCAATGTTGTCTGCAACGTGTTACTGTGTACTCTAAAAGAGCTGGTGGTTTCCTTGGTTTCACTTCCTGACACTGCCATCATCACAAAGCAGCTTGGGAATCCTCCCGACTTCCAGGGGAGACAAAGAAGAGATGCACACAGCGGCTGATACACAGAACAGAAAAGAGGCCAAGAGCAAGCAGCAGACACTGCCACACAGTTACGTATTTATTTTGCACTTCAATGCACTTTTCAACATATAAAAACATTCAACAATTGCCAGCACAGATGGTAGAGAGGCAGCACGAGTGCACATACACGCATGTAACGTGGCACAGAGATCATGCCAAAGTCACGCTGGTGCTTAGCGCTTCCCTACAATATCTTGCCCTGAGGCCAGGCTCCCGCTACGTCTTCTCGTCCTGAAGGAGGAGTGGGCACCGCAGGCCCAAATCATGGGATCCCGGTCCCACGAGGGAATGAATCCCAACCGTCTCATGACAAAGAAGGTGACTTCTCTGTTCCTCCTTGGTGTCTAGTAAAGCTCTCCTGGTATCTTCACCTCTCAGGTACTGCAATGGCTAATCTTCCCTGACTGTATACATCACCTGAGTTAAGGGGATGAGAATGAGGTTCTTTCAGGGGAGGGTTATTCTTGTCCTGAGGGCTTGATGCATTTCTTGCTTTTCCTCCTGATCGGTCTGTCTGCCATCCACATAGGCAGGAGAAACAGCTTGTCTTGACCTCATGGATGCTTTCTTCTGAGTCGAAGTCCACAGCGAGAAATGCCCAAACCTCAAATGTACTTTGAGTCAGATGCTACCACCTAGTGGCAAGTCCGTTGTCACCGCTGCCTCCAAAGCCTCCGAAACACCCAGGCAACCAAACAAACACTGCACCTCCCTGCGTGGCTTTTTATCTGGGAGGCAAGTAACCTAGTCTCCATGGGTGATCTGCACTTCTTTGTCATACCCACCTGCAAAACCCTAGAGCCATTAGAAAATATATGTAAACCATGTTATATATCGAGTACATAACATGTGCGTGCACAAAATATTACAGATGAGACACACACACAGAAACACTTTTCTTTTTTTAACTTAAAAAAAAAAGGTAAGCTCAGATTTCCACCTGAGAGAAACCGCCATCCCCCAGAGTCAACAGGCAGTTCAGTCCCAAGGCTTGGGCTTCTAAGATACCTTTGTCATTGTTTTAAAATAGGTTCAAAAGGGTTTCCACCTCAAACCATCCTCAGGAGACAGAAGCCTGTTGAAAGCAAAGGATCAAGCTCCTGCGCAGGGGAGAAGGTGGGTCTGAACAGCATTCACACTTTGGGATGCACTGGACTTTTGCAGGGCAATGATAATCTGAGGTGCTTTCTCCAGCTGAAACTTCCTTTTTTTGGGTTGAAGATACTGTCTGAGTCCCCAGGCCTGGCTTTGCAGCATGCCAGGGCTGTGCTAACTGGCAGAGATCAGGCACCTATGGAAACAAAGACAAATTATAAAACAAGTTATATAAAACAAAGCTCAGCAGTGCAATCAGTGTTTTAGAACAATTCCCATTTCCCCCCTAAACATAGGGGCAGAAGAGCACTGGTTACAATTCAAGAACAACTTGCTTTTTCCTCCTGAGGGGAGATTAAAGGGGCCAGAGAGCATCCAAGAGACTGCTTCTCAGCCAGGCATGCTACACTGCATTTCCCCTGCCCCTCACCCAGTCTTCTTCAATGCACAGATGATGGAGGGGAAGGGAAAATACAATGCACTGCCCAAATTCCCCAGGGATGATCCCCCTTGGGGTGGGCTGCAAATGGTGAGCAATACAGAGGGGGAAGCAATACTGTCATCTACTGGCACCTAGGCACACACTGCTTGGACTACCACTAACCTGGGGGGGTGGTTAGAAGGCCAGAAAGGTCTCAAATCAAAGTTGAAAGGATATTGGGAGCTCATTTATTTCTTCTTTTCCTGTATCTAAGAATCCTTATTCATTAAGGTGGAAGGTCAATTAGGCTTACATCTCCCCATTTATACCGATCAGTGGTTGGGGTGACATTCTGGGACTGGGATGGTCCTGCAGACTTCTTGAAGTCGCTCTGTCTTGCTATCCCATAGAGGCAAGCAGCATCAGTGGGCCACCATTAGCAAGTCGTGATCTGAGCGACAAGGGAAACATGTCTCTTGGATGGGAAGGAATATTTTTAAAGGGCATTTGTGAGCATTTTCCTGGCTGTCTTCCTCCCGGGCAGTAGAACCTACTCAGGAAGCACAACGAGAATCTGTCTGCTCCAGCCAGGGCTCCTGTTTCTGGTTTCTTACACCAAAAGGGCTGGGATAGTCTTAATGTGGCCCCCAAACCCTGCAGAGTGGCTCAGTATAGCAAACCACAGCTCAACCAGGCTCCTGTCTGAAGCCCCTGGTTTTCTCATTTTAAGAGAGAACAACATGAACTGATTGAACCTCTTAAGACAGGACAGCTGCAAAAACACAGGCACAAAGGAGCAGCACATCAGCACATACAGACTGACATTAGGGTTTAATACACAGATAATATGAGTTTAATTCCAGGAGAGAGAGCATGTAACACTGCCATGCTGCGGCGTTGGAGATGTGGCTACAGTAGGAAGGGTGGAAGCAAATTAGTGGGACAGGGGAGAGTCCTTCTTTAATGCCCTCCCTTTAAGCAATCACACGTTCTCTTCTGTTCTAGGAAGTGGGTCTTCAGGATAACGTCCTGGCCCAACCGTTTCCAGCCTGGGTTTGACTTGCAGTGCATAGTATTAGCATCCCATTGCATGTGTAGCAATGCATGGGGGATGGCGGAACAACCTCGCCACCTTAACGAGGAAGCACAAGGGTCGGAGAAAGACAACGCTTTACTGCTGCTGCCCACGGTATTGGCAGAATGGGTCCGGAGTGTCAGTGCGTACGGAAGTCAACTGGGCCTATGCATGTCCTGCGGACACTTGCTTCCTTTGGCAGGGCACTGGACCCAATCTCAGATGGTTTTCCCAGCACTGATATTTATAGTCATAAAGCAGCTACCTTCAGGCCTGTGTTCTGAGCGGATGAGACTGCAACAATCACCACCTATGTGAACACACTTTGTGCAACAGCGGATTGCAGAGTTTCTGCTTTTTACTTCAGAAAACAACTATGAATCCGGTGCAAGGCATCATAAAAAGCTCCGTTCCAAACACGCAGAGGTGCTGGCCTATACCTTTCACTTGGACTGATGTTGGGGCACGTGCTAACACTAATTCCAGATTGAAGTACTGAAGTAACTCCTCCATTCCCCGTCTCGCTTCTTTGCCTTATCTTTTATCCCCCGCCCCCTCCGACATTCTTAGTCACAGAATTAGACAGTTAATCCATGTTAAATGTGTCTTTGAGAGGCTCTTACCTTCATTCAGATGAGCTTTGATGACCTCATCAGGGCATTTTCTGCAAGTTCTTTGGCTGTTCCTGAACCAAAAATGACTTTTTCTCTGATTAGAAGAACGTAACGGTGAAACCAAACTTAGCTGGAGACAGGAACTCGGGCAGCCACAAGCCAACGCTAAAAGGCAGGATCTCTTGGGAGGTAAACTGGCTTCAAGATCAATTTATGATAGGGGTTCCAAAGAGCCTCGAGAGATGGTGGAGCTATTGCCAAAAAAAACCAACCCCTTTGAGCAGCGAACTCTTTGGAAGGTGCATTCCCCCATGGAGCTTAATGAAAAACAAAATCAGACAGGAAACTTTCACCCGGGATTGTCTGATGTCTTGCTGAATGCACAGCTGCTCAGCATTAGCAAACAGGAGGGATATTTTATAGATCTGGTTTGTGCTACAGAAGGTTTCTGCCAGGGCCCAGTCTGTGGCAAAAGCCACTGCATGGACAAGAATTCAGTGATGACTCCGAGCAGCAGCACTTATGGACTCTGCCTGCATTGAGATCAAGTGCTGCCCCCAAGGCTTATCAAATAAAAGCAGATCGGGACCTGGGTAGGATTAGTGGCCTCAGAAATGGGAGGGTAGATGGGAGTGCGGCACTGGTTACCACTAGTAGCTTTGGGGGCTTCAGGGATTTGCTGAACAAAAAATCAGTACAAGTTTTCAAATGTCATTGCCCAGCACTGGGCAGTCGGCTGTTCTAGACTCGGATTTATACTGCTCTCTGTCTCCTATGTGCCCCTCTGCATTGCAACTGCACCTCGAACAACTTCTCCACAGGCGGCGTGTGATCCCCGTCAAATCTCTTACCAAAAATCTGGGGCAGATGTGGAAACTCAGCTCAACACCTTCCCTTCACGAAGAATTTATGTTGCCTACTTGAGATTACATTTCTGGTTCCATGTCCAAAGTAATACAACAAGGAAGTTTGACAGATAGGCAAGCAAAACAGAGACAGACAGATATAAACACACGCCGGAACTGACTTCTTAATTAAAAGCATATCATTTGGGGAATTGGATTAGACTTGAATTTCCTTCTCTGCCTTGGCTGGAAGCTCCTCTTATTACCACAGCAGGAAAGGTAGTCTGTCTGAACAGCCCCTTCTGGAACCATTTGCACATTTGAATGATAGCACTCTGCTTTTATAACTAGAGTATGCTCAACTGAGGTTTTCTATGTATCCCGTTAAGGGCCAGCTCCTCCCCAAACTTTCTTAGAATTAGGCAGTTGATCAGAATTAACGCTTTATCCTAAGAGCTGTGATAGCACAGTTAGGAAAAACAACCCAGCTCTGAAATCAAGAGTCTTTCCCCAGCCTCCCTTAAAATTTGAGGGAACTGAAAGAAGGTCGGCTTATGAGCTGGTTCGAATCTTACTGTTGCACTTGGGCTAGTGTCTAAAGCAGAACAAGAAGCTGTTTCCCTTGCCCTGCTCCAAGCATCTGTGATATCGTTAACAGCAGTGGAGACTCTGAATCTGAGTCCTGGCTGGCGATATGATTTTCATCCTCTTCTTCTAAGTCAAGATATACTCGCTGGTCGCTTTTCACTCTGCACAGACTGGGGACCCTGTTACTGAACTTGGATCTTAACACACACACACTTTTTTTCTTTTAGCGAGCACTTCTGTCCATCTAAGCCAGGAGTTGTGATTCACTCTTCCTGATCCCTTACCAGTTGCACTCTATTCACATTCTCCCGGCTTATGTATGGGCCCTGCAGACAGCCAGCAGTAAAAAAACACAGGCAGCACAAGCTTTGTCCTACGTCCCCTGAAAGGAATGGCCAGCGGTTGCCACATTCATCTTCTATGGGCCTACTGGGTGAGAATGAGCAAACAGGTCCAGAGAAGCACAGAAAACCTGGCATGTTGCAGGTAAATGGTGCCACTGTCTCTTAGCGGTTTCTGTCGCTTAGATGTGCAGCTCTCTTCTCACTGCCCAATAGAAATTTGGAGCTCTGATCTGGCTGTGTCAGTGAGCAAGAAATATACTCTGCCCTGCTCCCCTTTAGAGGGGCACAGCCCCTACTCGATGCATCCATTTCCCATGCCTCTAGACAACACCTTTCATGTTGTGCAAAGGCCCTGATATAGAGTCCCCTCCACTGACTCCAACTCCGCTTAACTCAGAGCTGTCCCGTATTGGTAGAGCAGCTCTTTCCACCAAAACAGCACAACGTACACAGCCTGTGACATCTCTCTTATGAATACTGTTTGAAGCTTGTGTGTTAGGTAAAGTCTTGGGTAAAGCGCTGTCTCGCTGCAAGACAAAATGATGCCTGCATGAAACGTTAACACTGACTGAGGGACCAAACTTCGACCACTTGGCTAAGCTAGAGAGACATGGGGATCTCCCATGAGGGATGGGCTCCCTCAAGTGACGATTTCCTAAAATTCACATTGATCGTTCAGTCAGCACATACCACATTTGCAGAGCCACTGCATTAGTCCCCATTTTAGCCTAAAATGGTGCAACCTCTCTTCTCAGCTCAAAAAAAGCCATGTATTTTCAAAGAACCTATAAAATATGTTCAGCTACTCCGCTGCCTATACACAACAGTGTTAAGATTAGACCCATCCACACTAAGTGCTACACTAGGCAAATCCTAGAGCTGCCTGTCGACTACAGCCTGCACTCAAGGCCCTATTAGCAAAGCTGGACAGGACCTAAGAAAGACAAAACCAGACACATCTTAGAATAAAAGAAGACAAAACCTGCTAGAGGGATTGAAAACAGACAGCATGCACGTACAGGCCA